AGGAAAGAGCAGTGGGAACTTTCTAAAGCCATCCCCAGCAACCTGAATCACCTTCAAGAGTAGCAAATCTCCAGTGTCAATAGACTCAAACTGATAGACTCCCATTTGGGCTACGTGTGATATGTACTCTGGTTTCTTAAAAAAAAAAAGTCCTGAACACTTTTATTATTAGAGCATTTGTATTTTAAAATAACTAATTCTATATCGTCTCCTTGCTGTGAAATAGCTGATCCAGAACATGATCTTGCAAGCAGATATGTGGCTAAAAACCCAAGGGGGAAAGCCCAATCTACACTGGTGAGATCTATACTTGAATGTGCAGTCCGTTTCCAAGCAAGGTTTTCTAAGGGGTTTTCCATGTAATATTTCCTAATTTCAGAAATTCTAAACTTTTCACAAATATTTTTAAATGGGAAGGGGCGAAGGAAGGGGAAAGGTGAGTTCGGCAGCAATCCGATTAACCCTAAGTCAACGTAACGTGCAAAATAGCTAAATATGTTTAAAACTCTAGCCATCGAACCCATTGGTTTGGCTTCTGAGTTTGATCTTGGTGACATAACCAGCTTCTGTATTCTCCAGGTTTGGGAAGCCTCTTCCACTCCAGAATGATCCATCTTCCAGATTCCACAGCAGAAAACACATGTCTAGTCATAGCTAAGAAACTTGCATTAAAAGCCTCTGTTTTGGAGAAGTAAATAGGAGGGGCAGAGGAGAAATTCACCTGAATGGGGCTGGGGTGGGGGTGTATTTTTTCATTTATGAAAAGCTACACACTTTCAATGTAAACTCGGAGCTTTTTTCCTCATAGAAAAGAGCCAGTACCTTAAAACACGAAACTGAGGCAGCAAGTATTTTAAGAGACATCTTCCCCTCTTGCCCGGTTTAAAAGAAAGTTCTTTTTAGTAGAAGAAATAAATACATTTGACGTCTTAAAATGAAGCCACATGGACTTTGGGGGGGGCCCAAAATTGTTTGCTCGGATGGTAGCTAGAAACAAAGGTGAGGGAGGCAGTTGAGCTGTCCAAAGTTCAGAGATCTAAAACCCCAGTGAGTCTCTGTTGGAGACTAAGAAGAGAAATACAAACAGAGCTGCTTTAGCCTCGAAGGGCATTTATTTGGAGCGAAATGCAAGGCGACCTCCACTAATCTATTGTTAAATGTTGGTATAATGTTAAATGCTTTCTACAATCGATTGGAAAAAATATAAAAATACTCAGTGAGACGTTTTTAATCTCATATTTTTTAAAGAGAATTGTTTTTAAACCTGGTATGTAATAGCAGCTTTCAATTCCGTATACATTTTCTTACATTTACTTTCATGATTGTCTTGCGTATACCCTGAATTCTTCTCATTAAGGGAAAATTGAATTTTAAATTATTGCGAAATTTACAATATTGAGTCAGGTAGTATTGGCTTTTCCGGGTAATGTCAATTTCTAGGCAAGCCCTAACCTCATAGAGATATACACAAACCAACATCTTTGTAATCCAGTATATTGCAATGGCTTTGTCCCTTCACTCTTTTTAGTGAAAAAAAAATATGTATTATGCAGCATGAATTAATTTGCAAATAGTTTTCAGTTAAAGTTATGAGGGCAAATAATGCAAATACAGTTTTATAAAATGCTAATTACATAATTTCTAAGCAATTTTTTTCTTCTCTTGACATTCTGGTTTATTACAAATGAAAATGTTTTGTAGCTACTATGTACATTACCACTGCAATACATCTTAGTCTACAGTATTACTGCTAAACCAAAATAAGACTGATTTTCAGAAAAGGTTAATTAAACTTAGGTATAGTTTACTTGCTTCCGGGTGCATTTAAAAGGGTTTGTATTGATCACTTAACTTTTTTGGAAAAAAGTTTTATTTTAATTTACACAAAGATGGAGGTCAATTTATAAAATGCTAAAGTGTGGTTTTCTAAAAATATAGTCTCTTCAGAAATTGTTCTTGTACTGGATTCAAATAGAAAATAATATGAGGGGGCATATGGTTTTTTAAATCATGTAATATCTAATTTTCTTCTCAAGAAAATCTGTCTTGATCAATTAGAAAAAAATTTGAAACCGGAAATTAAGTTTTTTTTCTGAGGGTTTTGCTTTATATCTCTTGGTTTCTTTTGATTATTATCACAAGTTCATTCTCCTAAAGAGTAAAGGGCAATGAATGACACATTAGGATTTTTATTTGGTCGACAATCTTGTAGTAAATATTATGTTGTAACTGAACTCGCATCTAAGAGCATTACTGAGTTAGTTCCTCAGTGTTTGACTGCTAGAATTGGCCTCTTCTTATCTCCCCCCCCACCCTAAATCCCTGGTGTCCAGTTTTCTTTCAGTTCAATTCAACAAACATTTATTAAGCGGCTATTATGTACTAGGTGCTAGGAATACACAGGTGAAAAAGAAATCCCTGACCTCAGGGAACTAAAAGGTTTAAAGTGCCCGTGTCTCCACTATCTCACTACTGGTGTTTGGTGAAAATTCGGAAAATTTCCCTAGTGTCGACTTCCTTCTCCTATAGATTCGTAGCGGCCTTATGGTTCAGTTAAATTCTTTTACGTTTTTATTACATGAGAAGTATGCTTCCCTTCTCTTCCCTACCAGAAAAGGGGGGGGCGAGTTCCCCAAAAGAAATTGTGAAAACTCAGGAAACTGTACAGGAAGGAAACTGAGCCTTCACCATCTCCATTGAAAGGACACTGGATCCTATCCCAGAACTTCAAGTTCTAAGGTAAGTCCCGGGTGTCAGAAAGTAGATGTTTTCGCACCAGAAAACAGGAAAGCAACATTCTTGGAAGCCAACGCATGAAATCCACAAACGTTCTCCCTCCTTTCCTGATCACAACTGCTCCAGCTAGAGCTTGGTTGCTTCGCACTAAAGTTCTGTAATGCAGAGGAACAGGGATTTTTTTTTCTTTTTTCTGTTGTTGCAGGCTTCCAAGGAGAGGATTAACAGCCAGAGCCTTCACAGCAAATAGGCACAGTTGTGCTTACAGGAGCAGTAAATAGGCGACTTTCCTCTTTTTTTGTTGTTGACTTTTAGGTCTTGGGCCAAACAAAAGCGTTATTCGCTGGGGGTGGGGCGGCGAACAATGAATAACTACACTTCGGAGGTGCAGACAATCTCGCCTTAGAGCCACTCCCTGCCCTGCCGCCTCCAACAATCCCCCCACTGCACAGTTGTCCCTTGAGCCAGAAAAAGTGCAAAAATGCTGAAATCGCTTTAAAGAGCTCTGAGGTGGGCAGCTGAGGCTCTCGTCCCCTGATGCAGACGATCTGACTGGGTGAATGTTTTGCGGCTTCCACTTTCTTATTAAAGTTTTACCATTTTGGCCCTTCATAACCTTTTAGTGGGCACTGCGGGAAGACAGGGCTCTTTTCCCAACTCCTCACTGAGCAACCTTCCCTATCCAAATCCCAGAGTCCTAGAGAACTGAACACAACTCTTAAGTACTACCGCTAAAATCCGCTGCCGCCGCCGCACACCACCACCAGCTGACTGGAGGGGTTTTCTCCACCTTCAAATTAAAGCGCTTACTAAATAGAATAACAAGAATTATAGAAGACAGGTTCAGTTGCTGCAGAATGGAACAAGAAATTAATTTAATGATTTATTGGGGAGGAGAGACAGACAAGAAAACAAAAAAAAAAGTTTGCGCTTTAAAAAAAGGAAACAAAAAACACTGAGACCAGCTGCAAAGTGAAATACCGTGGCCTTCTAAGAGCCTCTAACACTACTGACTTCCTTGCCACGCGTTTGTATCATACTTGGAATTAGAATTTCACGACTACGATGTGGAGAATTGTTGGAATTTACAGGTTTTCCCCCACCCCTTTGTCTAGGTCTTTAGGCATTCCTTCTACACCTTAGTTATCATATATAAATTAAGTTACTCCAGTAATGGTCTTTTTTTTTTTTGTCCCCTCTGATGGACAGCAGTCCGAATAAGGGTGATTGAGAGCTCTAGTTATTTAAATGGGGAAGTGATCTTCCCTTCTTTCACCTGGAAAATCAATTATGCTATAATTAAGAGAATTACACAATTCTCATCTTGTTCTGCTGCGTGGGGTGCGAATGATCAAAGTAAGAGTTGTTCAAGTTCAAACCTTTCTAAGTGACGGAGTTCACAAACACAGGCTCCTCGCCTGAGATCAGCTTTTTCTTGGGGTGCTGTTGTTATAGTTGATGTCAATCTGCACAAGATTGACAAAGAAATAGGTGGACTGGAAAGCTAGCCTGCTATCAAAGGAGATTAATGACTTTGTGATCGTGGATAACTAACTATTGCTGTAAAATTCATTTAAGCTTCTTAAAGTTCAATAGAAATCACCAATTCAGAGTCCTGGCGACTATAATTTTAGAAACGACGACATTAAAATCATTACAATATGCAGAATTACAAATACCTTGAAAAACCGAGACATATAACTGATCAGGAGCAGAAACGAACTCCTTTATTTCTGTTTCCTCCACTTGGAGTTCGCTGCAGCTAGGACTATTCCGTTGTTGTTGTTTTTTTTTTTTAAATAAGAACAGTATTAACCAGATCTGCTAATTTTGTCATTTTAATTATGTCCAATTGGACTTCATTATGTTTGCATACATCTCAAATAAGGAGGAAAAATCAGGGTGAGTTCCCTCAGGGGGAAAATGGTTTAAATATACGTTATTAGATTTTGCTGTACAAAGCATACCTCGAGGCATACCTCCATTTCTTAAAATGGAAGTCAACATTTCTCAGAATAAAATAATCTTTATAATCTTGGTTCCTAGAATTCCTCTATTAAGTCTCAGCCTGCATATGCTAATTCTGCCTGCAATCATTTTTCTTTGGGAAAATTGAGTTTACTTATGTTAGAGGCATTCTTATTGAATGAATACACCCGTTTTGACTGTTGATAATTTTTCTTTTCCTCTTATATTCAATTCCTTGTTTTGAGAATATTTGTCTTATATTTTACCAGCATGCAATAGCAAGAAAGCAGAAATCCTTATTTGTTAACATTTGCTTTATTTAAAGTCCTTAACTGCAAGTGATCAAAAACATACTCCACAGCTTTAAATCTCAATTATTTTCTTTGCTAATTAAATGAAAATATTTCCCATTACAATCACATTTATAAAAATTAACCTTTTAATTTGTCATTTTAACCATCATTTAAAGCAATATCATCTGTAAAAGAAAGAAATACAAACCATGCAATAAATTAAGAACACTGAGAAAGCAAACAGGAATAATAATAAAAATCCATCTGGCTATGCTAACACCACATCAAACTGTGGAAGGTGCATTAACACTGGATGAAACAAGTGAACAATGGCAATAAGTGGCACAATAAAAAATAATTTGGGGATCTTGGACCGGATTTCAAAATGAGGTACCCTATAACTTGTCTCTCTCCTAATGTTGTAATAACCCTTTTTTTCTGAAAAAATAACATTTCTATAATGACATAATACACAGGTTTATTTTTTATATGTTAAGTGACTCCAGAGTAAAATGACCACATCTCTTTTATTTTTGTCTTTGTATTCCCACTGTGCCAACACATAGCTGATGCTCATTGAGTCATTGATAGTCTGCAAATCAAAGAGTAGAGAGCTACATGTGGGCTTTTTTTTTTTTTAGCAATTTTTCTCAGGTCTGTATGGTGGTGAGAAGGAAAGGGATTGGAGTACCAAATGAGCAATGGTCCTTGTAACATCATTTGGCCAGGCAGCTTTTGAAGACGTAATATGTATATTACCTAGGTATATGTAGGACCACATATACATAGGTAAGCAGAGAGGATATACATGTATGTGTACATATGTATTGAGAAATTATACATAATACATATATCTTTTTAAGTCAACAGCTATCTGAATGGATCAGAAAGATGATCTTTTTAAAAAAGTAACTCTGATTCTTGGATTCTGTTTGTGTTTTGCTACATTAAGAACAGTGCTATCCTTCAATAATTTTTAAAGAGCCCCCAAATCTACTTGTTTATTTATCTGGGTTCTTAACATTAAGAGCATTGCCACATACCTGTAAACTTTGGGAAGTTGGACAGCAAAGAGGGTGAAAAGAAAAACCACACAGATATTTTTACAAGTTTGACCACCTCTTTCTTTTTTTTTTAAATACACAGGGAAAGAGAGAGGACTAGAGGGAGGGAAGGAAGAACAAGCGGAAATATCTTTTTATATACAATTGTGGATCACTAAACTTTGCAGGAAGGATTTTAGTTTGTGTTTAGTTACTTGGATTGCTTTATAATAACATATACAACTCGTTTTGAATACAATAATAAAGTAACAGTCCTTTGCACTGGAAGGGGAAAAGATTGTGCAAAAACGTGAAATAAAAAGTTTATTGGGGTTTCATGAATCGTTTGTTTTTTTTTTTTATTTCTCCTGTTCCCAGAATGGCCATCCTAGAAAAAGCACCAGTCGCAGGAGCTAAGAAGTATTTAGGACCGGTCTGGAATACACACCTTGATAGTAAGAAGGCTCCAGAGCTGAAGGCTCAATTGTGCTCCTCCCGGCCATGGAGGCACTGCTCAGAGGCAGGCTCCCTGGCAGCCCTGCTCCATAGGGTGAGTACTGTAGAGCCTGCTCATAGGCCTTGAAGTCCAACTTGTGCTGCTGCTCGGAGGAGGACATAAGGTTGTTGATGGAGAAGGGATGGTTGAAGGAGTAGTGGGGGTCCCCTTTCAGGTGCAACTGGGACTCGTGGGGTGTCAAGACATGTGCTGGGTGGGAGGGGGGCACCGAGGCTAGCGCCACTGGCCCAGAGGAGATTGGCGGGGCCGAAGAAGAGGCCGCAGTCTTTAGCTCCTGGGCGCCCCCTGTCGCCCCTGCCCCATTGTGGTCCAGAGGCTGGGGGCTGGCCGCAGGACCAGACGCCTGGGCGCCCTCCAGCTGGGAGGATTTCCCGTGCACCCCGCGATGTAACGGGGAGTTGGAGCTCGCGCTGGAGCCTCCCGGGGGCTCCTTTCTGCTTTCTGGACCTCCTTTGCCTACGCCTACACCTCCACCCCCGCCGCCGCCACCGCCTCCCGCGCCAGCTTGCTTCTCGCACTTGAAGCGCTTCTGACGGCGCAGGTAGCAGCCGTTTTCGAACATGTTGCCAGAGTCCGGGTGCAGGGTCCAATAAGAGCCCTTGCCAGGCTTGTCGGGGGAGCGAGCCACCTTGACAAAGCAGTCATTGAACGAGAGCGAATGGCGAATGGAATTCTGCCAGCGCTGTTGATTCTGCCTGTAGTAGGGAAATAAATCCATAATCCACTGGTAGATTTCACTCAGGGTTAGCATCTTGCTGGGAGCTTGTTGTATGGCCATGGTGATGAGGGAAATATAGGAGTAGGGGGGCTTGGCATGCGGGTAGCTCCGCTTGAAGGTTTTGGCGTCCCCTCTGCTGCGGCTTAGGTTGGAAGGGGCATACGCCATAGGGCTCATGCAGGGGTTCATAGACCCAGTGTAGGGAGCCAATCCATTCACGGAGGCAGCCTGTTGAGCTCCCATGGCATTCATGCCCCCAGGACTCAGGGCTGCTCCCATGGCGGTCACCCCTGCAGCAGTCATGCTGTTCATGGCACTGGCTGAACTCCCCGGCATTCCAGCCACGGCGCCCGGGCTTAGTCCGGCCCCTAGGCCTGGGTTGGCATAAGACATGTTGAAAGAAGCTGATGTCATGTTGCCGCTGGTGGTCATAGCGTTCATAGTCATGTAGGTATTCATGGTGTTCATGGAGCCTAGGCCTGAATTCATGTTGCTGACGGGCACTGAGGAGTAGGCCTGCGGTGGGGAGAATAAAAGAAGATAAAGAGAAGCGGGCTAATGTAGAGGGGTGTGAGTGATGGGTGTGGGTAATGGGTTGACCTAAGGCCACCTGCACTCCCCTATAATCCAGAGGACCACTCAATACCATATAAATATAGACTGCCCTACACTCAGCAAAGAATGAGGGCCCAGAGGAGCAAGGAGGAAAAAAAAAAAGGGAAAACAAATTCAAATTTCCACAAGCATAGAGGAAATACTAACATAAGAATGGCCCAGAAAGAGGGGTGTGAACCTTATTAAGACCAGAAATTAGGCAAAGTCCACTTTCCAACTACCTTGTATCTTCCTCTATTCTGCTATCCTAAATCTGATTCTTTTAGAAAATGTCCCCCCACCAAAAGAAAAACCTCTAAAAACCAAACACCTTTTTATCCTTTATTTGTTGCCCACAAAAAGCTCGTTTCTTCATATTATATATATACTAAAACCAACTTTCAGAAAGATCTCCATTCAAGAAAAAAAAAGACCAAAGAGAGTGAAGACTCTTTTTGTTACCTAACAAATGTAATTTGCGAGGCCCGAGGCAGGAGCTGCAACAGGCTTTTTAACCAACACTCTCTCCTTCAGTTTCCTATGTCTCTCTGTACAGTATTTCTATTCTGTATTTCTTACCAGAAATTACCTTAAGTAATATGAAGGAGTCATTCATTTTCCTAATGTAGAGCATAACTGGCCTTTAGAAATCTTAATCAGATGGTAGTTTTGTATTTTTTTTGAATTTCCACATAGCTTTGTAAAATCACCATCAAATTTAAGTTAGGTTTGTGCAAATTAAAATTTGGAGGGGAGATAGAGGAGATTTTCAATGTAAACACTTAAGTTTATGATAAGTGTATAAAAACCCTTTGGAAATGTTCAGATATTTGTAATAATTTCCCCTCTTTCCCTAATACTCTCAACATATTCCAGAGTATGGTAATACAGCACATCTCAATTGTAATATTTATTGATATACTAAAATGGACACTTTGATCTTTGTAAAGCATAACCTCAAAACAGAGAGCTTTATCAGTTAGCTACAAACTTGATGATGTATCTGAGAAGCTGGGAAACGAACAATTTCAGTCACTTAAAATTTCTCAAATGTTAATTCTATTCATTAAAAGCTCCACTTAAGACATGCATCACTTTATTGATTTATGTTCACAGCCTAAACCTGTATAGGAGCTCTTTGACCAGAAATAAGAATTTCGGTGTGACTGAGACAGAATAAACAGCTGAAAAAGTTTACATTCTTTAAAAAATTGTCGTAAAATTAAAGCACTTCACAGTAGCATTTTGAAAATGCATCCTGAATAACAAACATATAATTTTTTTAAAGATTAAGCAGGGAATTGCTAACTTTTACTTAAGAGGATATTTGATTCTTATAAGCAAATGTCATTAAATTATGTTTTATCTTCTTCCTTCTCTAGAAAAGGAAAGGGAATTAAAGAGTATTAAAAGGTTACATGAGCTAGAGTTTACTCATGTTTAAATATTCTCTATGCACATGTGAACACTGTATATACAGATAAAGGCATATTTGTCAAATGAATGCAACTATATTATCTATGAAATAGTTCCTGTTGCTATACTAAGCTGTCTATTGCATTTAGAGATTCGTATTACTTTTTACACAGGGACACACAATTCTCAGCAAATGCAGGTTGAATGGATGTGTCCAGGAAGTACCAGTGTAATAAATCTTCTGAGTAATCACGGGGTAATTTCAAGAGAAAACGAGTTTTAGTAGGTGGTAGGCCTATCCACTCTTTCTCAATATTCTTTTGTGCTTATTGTAAAATAAAAGTCAAAAAGTCACCCAAAGTCACGCAAAGGGGGGGTGGGGTGGGGGAACCTACAATGAAGAGAAACAGGTTCTCTGTCTGCAATGGGCCTATTCATCTCTCACCATCGCCACCCAGTGGTTCTACCTAGCAGCCTTTTCCTCAAAGATCTTTCTAAAAGATTAAGTTTTTGTTTTGTTTTTGAATGAACGACTGATTCCTTTGGGTCTATTAGTTACTCAGCTACTCTGGTCAGAGAGATATTTGAAAATGAAAAAAGGGGGGGGGCGGGGGGAAATGGAAGCATCAGCCTTGCAAAGAAGCTCTGGTTTTTCCAAGGGTTCATTTCAACTTGCTCGTGTCCCTGCGTGCCTACGCTGTGGCAGGGCTTGTACTCCAGGTTTCCCTTTTGTGGAGGCAACTGCTTCTCCAAAGGAGAAAACCTACAAAACCCCGAGTTCCTTCTCCTCAAAAGATCTAAATCCTTTTTCTGAACCTGGTGACATCTCTCTAATTCCTGATCCATCTGACCCCAAATCTCAGTCCTTGGATTATGGTTTGTTTTCGTTCGTTCAGGACTAGGCATAGTTAGCAGTCGTCGCAGTTATCTAAAAGATCCCCAGTCCCACGAATTAGTTTGTCTTCCCCCGATTCCCACTGCCCCCGTCCTCTTTTCCTCGCCTTCATGAGCAGCAACCTTAGATCTCCCAGCTTCACTTACCTCCTGAGATTCCGCGTAGTAGCTGTTCCAGTCGCTAGTTTCGTGCCCTTCCATTTTCACCGTACCTAACATCATGGAGCCAACCTGCCCGGTGTAATCATCCAGCCCTTTGCAAAGCGGCGGGCAGCAAGGAAGGGAGAAGGAGGAGAAACAACCAGCAACAATAATAACACTACAAAAAGCCCTAACCAAACCAGCACCCCACCTAGGAGGAAGCCAATTCCCGGTGTATGCTTTATTGGAGCTGGTGGGGGGAGGGTTGGGGAGAGGGAAAGGCGGGCGTAGAGCGGCGTGGGTGAGAGACACTTGAGAAAGTGAGGAAGTGCCGGCTGGGATGCGAGTGGAGTTGAGCTGATGTGGATCTTACGTCGCCCAAGTGCCCACCTCCTTCTCCTCTCCCCATTTGTCCGCTGCACAAAGACGCTTGCACCTACAAAGCCAAAGATGCACCTGCAAACAAACGGGCACCAGCCACTCTCAATTCCTCCCACACCATCTCCCTCTCAGTCACCCTAACTCCCTTCTTTCCTTGTCGTACAGCCCCCTCCCCCAAACTAAGGCGTCACTTTATTTGCAAAGCAACGTAATTGGTTTAAGCTTGGAGGGAGAAGAAAGAGGGAAGTGGGAAGAAAACAAAAAGGGAAATATTCTCCTTTGGAAAGAAAAAAAGTGGGGCCGGCCTCACAGGATAGCAGATCTCCCTAAATGAATGCTGTAGCTGAGGCGGTAGTGGCGGGGAAGGCTCTGTGTGAATTGAAAGTCAAAGGACGGCCGGCGTCAAAGCCTGGAGATTAGGAGACTGTGTTCACTAAACTGCAATCGAGGTTCCCCTTACTTGGGCGCCCTACTGTTTTCCAGATGGCTGCTTGGGAACGGCTGCCATCACAGAGCCTAGTAATGCCAGCTTAGAGTCCTTTTTTACGCCCACTATTCTCACCCTCTCCCCCAAATCTACATCGCCTTCTCTCAAGTCTCTTTTCCTTGTTCAGCCCTTTACCTTGTTCAACTTCCCAAAGTTCAAACCTGGGGTTTTCTATAGTGAGAAGGGTCTAGGATGCTGACGTGCTTCAAACCTAGGACTTTTTTTTTCGCCCCAGCTTCCGCCTCATTACAAAAATAATAATAGTTTTTGCTCTGTCACTGGAAATCCAGTCATCTGAGTCACCCCAAAATGACGTTAAAGCCAACCCCAGAATACCCAGGCTAGCTGCAGACCGGGATGCACTGAAATGTAACCCGTACCTGCGGCTACAGCAGGTGAGTCATGGTAATAATTTTATATCTTTATGACATTTTTTTCTTGGCCGGGTTGTCCACTCCCCTTGTCATCTGAAGCAATCATAAAAAGAAAAAAGAAAATGAGGGCAGATGTCTGTGTGCTAGGGCAGGCAGTAGGGAGCAGCTATTTTTGCTTCCTCACCTTCTCTTTTCCTCTGCCCATTGGAAAGCGGCTGGAGGCATAGTTTTCCTTAATAGAGAAAGGTCAGGGTAAGGTTGGGGACTATAGGAATGTGGGGGGCGGGTGGGAGGGAGCGAGTGAAATTCCTCTAAATCATCTGACTCATTTGAAAGAGAAAGATCCTCTCAGAGTCCATATCTGAACTGGAAAAAGCACTGTTCCCCAACTGCCCCCTACCTCCACCATAACTTCATTTTCACCTATAACTTATTTAAACTATAATTGGTAAGACTCCAGTCTCCTGCCTTACTGTCTACCATGACTACTACAGATTAGAGGTGAGAAATCTTCCATAAATACACACACACACACACACACACACACACACATATCTTGGTCATCATAAAGTAATGGTGTTGACAGGGTTTGTGTAATAGGGAAAGCTATATTTTTTTCTTTTTGCTTGAGTCTGGGTCTAAAGTGGTATCAACTCCATGGATGATAAGAGAAGAGGTTGTGTGTGTGTGTGTGTGTGTGTGTGTGTGTGTACATGCATGAATGGGCTACTTGTGTCATTGATTCAGAGAATTAAAGGCAGAAGGGACCTTGGAGTTCTGAGTAACCCTCCAGATATAACTTAAGTGACTTACCCTGGGGTTTTACTGCTATTGTCTGAAAAGGGATGAGAACCCAAGATTTTTTGACTTGGAATCTAGCCCTTCACTCACAGTGGAAAGCACTTGCCCTGAAATCAGAACACCTGGGTTCAAATGGTGGCTGTCCTACTTCCTGCTTGTGTGATCTCAGGCAAGTCACCTAACTTCTCTATGCCTCCCTCAGTTCCCTCATCTGTAAAATAAAGGAACTGGACTAGGTGATCTTTTAGATCTCTTTTGGCTCCAAATCTATGATGTTATGAAAGTTAAAGAGGTTTTTCTTTTTTTGTTTTACTGTTCCTTGATTGAGTTTCTGGCAAAAAATGATTCTGAATAAACAAGACAACCTTGAGTTTTCATAGGTTTTTATCTTACTAATCTTATTTTAAGAAACTTGTTTTGACTTTTCTAAACAAGTACTTCATATATATAATATATACGTACATGTATATACATAATACTAATGATTATTTCTGCTCTTTGTCCTTTAAACTCTTCTTTAAAATCTGGAAAGAGATATTAATCTTTGAAACAAATTTATTAAATCAATGTTCTTTTGTGTGATTTCATGTCAGCAGCAAGATTTTAATTCCACTTGAAAGGCATATGAATGCTAACTTCAGGTACATTATTAAAGAAAGCTTTTCTTGTCTTTCCAAGTACTGTGAATGACTTTGTTGCTCTCTTGGGCCATCAATTTTTAGAAATCATTTGAGTATTTTTCAAAGTTATTCCATTGGAAGCTAGTAATACCTTTGGGGGTGGAAGTTTGTAAAATAGGATGTTTGTAAAGAAAAGCAATTTTGAGCTAGAATGTCAAACAGACCTTTTTGGTTCCTAGTTTACTTTCCAAAACTTCCTAGATTTGACTTGTCCAAGAAAATTAACTTCACAGAAGTATAGAATCATCTAATCAAACCCACAGGTGAAAAAAGAAACATCCTACAAAACATCCAGCAACTGATTATTTAGCTTAAAGATCTCCAGTGAGAGGGAACTCACTACCTCCTGAGGCACTGTTTGTTTAAAAGGAAGGGAGGAAAAAAGGAAGGAAAGAAGGCAGGCAGACAGAGACAGTGGTCCTTATTTGCCTACAAAACCTGAATAACAATTCAAAGAATTTCCTAACAGTATCTTTAGAAGCTAAAATATAAACTGTTTTGGCTACTAGGTTATCTACCCTGTCTTTGTTTTCTTTTTGGTTTGGAAACTTCAGATTACAACAAAGTCATAGCGCCTCCTGTTGTTTCTCTATTGTGCAACATACATTCTCCATCAGCGTGCCAGTAACACAGTAGTGATATAGGGATCCTGTATTGAAACAGCAACATATTTCCTGCTTTGGGGGACTTTCTGATTGATTGGAGTTTCTAAATATAGTTGCCTAAGGTGCAAAATTGATCTCATAGATATGGAATCGCTAGAAGTACAGTTATCTCCATGATGTCCCTTCTTAAAGAATGGTTTTCAGGATCATTAGGTATAATAGAGCTTAAGGGTAAGTCTACCCTAATTATCAACCAAATGAAAATTCCAGGATCTTGAAAATGAGTCATCACAATTTATATTCACTCATCTTATGGGGCCTTAAATTTTCCCCCCTAAATGTTGCTGATCAGCAAGCTTTACTGTGCTAAGCACAGTGAATACAAAGAAAGTCACTTTCCTATATCTTGAAAGCACCTCTTTTGCATTGATCTTCAGTTAGCTTGTGTGTACCTGGAACATGTTCTGGAAAAGTTTCCTAAATCTTCCTGCAAAATCAACCCTTTTAAATCCCTTAGATATCCCCTTTCACATCTTTCTCTCCTCATTTCTTATTTTTAATGAATTATCTAAAAATCTTTACTGAAAAGAGATATTATTTCTTAGTTGTATCCTTAGGCCAAAATTATCTGATTCTGGATACGTGCTATTTAAGTTTCAAAATGTTTCTTGTGTGTAAGATCAGGACCTGGTGGTGTGAAGAAAAGCTAAGACCTAGGCTAGCTGAGTTATAAAATACTCAACAGAAAGGTTTAGTTGGGAGTGAGTATAAGGGAAAGGCAGCCTAAGAGTACATGCTACTTTTCTGTGAATAATCAGCATGGTATGATTGGACAGCAGTTATTCTGAAAAAGAAATAGGACTTCTAGTGAATTTCAAGATCAACAGGAGTCAGTACAGTGAAGTGGCAGCTTTAAAAAAAAAAGCTAATCTTGGGATACATTAAGGGAGGCACAGTCTCCAGGAATAAGGAGGTGATGACCTCACTAGAATCCACCACCATCAGACCTCGATCAGAGTATTATTTTCAGTTCTAGGCACCAAAGTTTAAGAAGGACATTAATAAACTTCAGGGGGTCCAAGGGAGTGGAACCAGTGAATGGTCTTGAGTCCATGACATGAGCATCAATTGGAGGAACTGGACATATTTAGCTTGGAGAAGACTCAAGGGGAATTTGATCAGCCTTCAAGTATTTGAAGTACTGTTGTGATGAGGAGGGAATAGGCTAGTTTCAAATAGGCAAATTTAAGCTGGATAACTGGAAAATATTCCAAACAATTAGAGCTATCCAAAAGTAGAATGGATTGCTTCCTTAGATGGTGAGTCTTGGAAGTCTTCAAGTAGAGTTATGGGGAGTGTTCCTTTCATGCGTAGGTTAGGTTAGATGACCATTGAGGACCCTTTCAACTCTGAAATTCTCTGAGTCTGTGATTCCATATTTTAGAAGTCTGATAAACTAATGAGTGGAGGAGCAAAAAAGAAAGGTCTTAATTAGGTACTCAATACCAAAGGTGGAAAGGGAAAAAAGCTACATCAAACCTAGGGCAAAAAAAGGTAAAAGAGACACTTCCTCTATTTTTGAGAACTTTTTAAGGTGAAATTGGTGCCTATTTTCTTCAGCCCCAACAGGCTACTTTACTTTACTACTTTACTAAGGCAATTCAAGTACTACAAACTTTCTTCTATACCCATTTTTCTCTCTTAATGTTATTCTATTCAGAACAGCTCTGAGACCCTTCACAGGCATGGAAAAGCAAGAGATAGGAAAGAATGATTTATAATTTACTAAGGGTAGGCAATTAACACCCAACCCTGCCTTACATATGAGGATACTGAGGTTCAGAGAAGTTAAGTAATTTTCCCATGGTTACCTAATAAATGTCAATGATGGGATTCAGCCCTCCATATTTCTGCCCTGACTCCAGGTTCAACATACACTACATCACATGGTCCTCTGCTATCTAACATTCTGCCTTTTTAGTTGAGGGGTTTTGTTGTGCTCCTTTGATTATCCTTGCTTCTACTTAGCCGAGATTTAGTGCAATATTATCTGACTACCCAGAAACCTAGAAATCTAGTGTCAGGCTGGGACTCTGTTCACCACACAGGGTGAGGGAGCCTCTAGTTTGACTCCAATGGGATGGAACCAGCCTCTTGTAGGGAATTGTTTCCTTCTTCCCTGCCTCCCACCCCCATTTATTTGTTGATCTGTTCTGTTCATTATATTTGGTCATTATCAGGCAGGATTTCCCAGCCAACTAAACACTGTGTTTACTCCCTGGATCCCTAGCGGGATTTACCAGATAGTTTTCCTCTTTGGAAGCCCGTTGTGGTATGGTCTGGTGTCTATCTCCATTCCTTAGATAAGAAGCTTAAGTCTCCCCAGCAGAAGGGAAGAACTCAGTTGTCCTAATGAAATCTGAGGTTTGCCTCTTAATGTGGTAAAATGACTTCCTCCCCATGCCCTCGGTGTTATTAGAATCTAGAAACAATGCAGTCCTTAAATCTAATGGGTAGCATGCTCGATACCCACTATTCTCCCATCTCCAGCATGTCACTGAAAGTGAAGGCCAGAAACCTTCAAGTGAGCAGTGGTGGTCTAACTCTTCAGGCATGTCAAAGGCTGGGCTTGGTTGGCCTGTAGGGTGTGGGTTAGCTGTAGCTCTTCCTTTTCAATATCAGGTCGTTATTGTTCCCCACCATCCAGCTGCTGAAAAGACTTGGCTAACAGATCTATTGACAAAGCAGGTGCAAAACTCCAAACTTAAGCAGTGGTATCACAGGTTCTGGAGAAAAGCAATGGGACTGGGCATTAGGCACCTCTTGGAAGATGCCTTTGGGGAGTGGGGTTAAGGTCGGTATTTTTTTGCAGTGTCTTTAGGGCTTTCTCCCCCTCTTTCACCTACTTTACTTGAAAAGTATTTTAATCTGAGTT